TGGAACAGTGTCCCTGGCAACTGTGATCCCTAGGCCTGCTTTCCAGATTCCCAAGTGTGCAAGTGACTGCTCCTGTCTCCTGTCCACCCGGGCAGGGGCACAGGCACTAACAGACGCCCCGGGGGTCGCCACTGGAAAGCCAGTTCCCTGATCTCTGCCGAGCTGCAAGCAGCTGAGTGGCTGAGGCCGACCGGAAGTGGGGAGGGGCTGACGCCTGCAGCGCCAGCCTGACACCGGCACTCACTTTCCCGTCCTCTTGCCTCCTAGGAAAGCTGTCCCTGGAGGAGTTCATCCGAGGGGCCAAAAGCGACCCGTCCATCGTACGCCTCCTGCAGTGCGACCCCAGCAGCGCCGGCCAGTTCTGAGCCTGACTGGAGTCCGCGCTGCTCGTGTCCCTTCCACTCTCCTGTATAATTTGTTTTTTGCCAAACAGTATCAGTGATGGCGCTGTCCCCCGTGCGGCTGGACGTACCTTCTTCCGTGACACCTTCGCCTGCAGCTTCACTGTCGTTGTGGGCGCCTCGTGGGCCTGCAGAGCCCATGTGCTTGTGGAGAGCATGGACAGACGTTGTGGTGTCGTCGTTTCGTGACTTTTTTAGCTGTTATTATGATTTATCCTTTAAATCCTAATGTCTCTGTTCTAAAACCTGAGACCTGGAGGGCAGGGGAAGGGGAGTCCATCCAGGCTGGTGAGTCTACTGTGCGCTGTGGGGGGCTCTGTTCAAAGACCAAACTCACCTGGGCTTGCTGTCGCACACACCCTGGGGACCACAGATGGTGCCAGAGGCTGGCTCCCCTGAGGCTATGCCAAGGCCCTGGGGCACCCTGAGAGCCCCACTTCACAGCCCAGCAGGCTGGAGTTTCTAAGCTGTGAACATTTAGAGGTCAGTTAGAAGAGGGGTGGATTGAGAGGGCTCAGCTGGGTTTTTCCACAGTTTACACTTGTTGAGTTAATGTGACTTTCTTCGGAAATCCAACACAAATGGCAACACAGCCCAAGACCAGACCCATCTTGTTGCCTACTATGATGAAAAGAAAAGAAAGAAAAAGACTGCTGTACATAAAATCCGGGGCACTGCAGACCAACTAAGTGTTTTGCCTTGTAAATGCATGTTTAGCGAGCACGAACACAATCTCACCGTGGAACTGTTTCCAGTAGCTTATTGTGAAGCCAGCCAGCCACACGAATGTCTGTCTCGTTTTTCAAGTCCTGTCTGTCTTTGCACAAACGCACCAGTCAACAAGTGTATTCTCCATGGTCCATAGCATCCAGGGCCCATGACAAGGCCTGGTGTGCACTCTGCCCAGTCTCCCGAGTCCTGGTGGCCGGAGAACAGAAGAGACCGCTCTCTGGAGTCAGGAGGGTGGCATTCACGAGGGGACGAGGCTGTGGCTTCTGGCTCAGCCCTGCGGCTCGCTGGCAGCCTGCGTGGAGGGTAGGCGGTGGGGTGCTTTTCCGAGCAGATGGATAGCGACAGACTTATGAAGACAGCCAAGTTCTAGGACTTACAATAGTCTGACTCCATTTTGGTGCCGGATGGCCTTCAGGGAGCTTGAGTGTGACGGTCACTGAACTCACCGTGAGAAGCCAGGTGTCTCAGGTGTGTGGTCCACTGAGGGACCCAATGGCGTCTTTCCCCACCGGCTTCTCCGAATGCAGGTTTCTCTCTCCAGAAGTGACAAGACCCATGTGAGTCACCGTTTGGGCTGGCTGCCTGTGCATACTACAATCTGCTGGTCTGGCCAGGTCGTACGTAGTCTTTGTGAGCCTTGCCCCAGGGAAGCCCTGATGCCCAAGGATGCAGTTAGGGACCTGCCTCGGAGAAGACTGCAGGTGCCCAGGGCTTCTGTCTGCTGCCGGAGCCCCTTCCTGGGGATGCGAGCAGAGCCCATCCCAGCCTCCAGCTCCTGGCTGTGGCTCGAGTCCCTTCTGGTCGTGGTCAGAAACCCCGTGTGTGGTGGACCCCAACGAGCCAGCTGTGCAGCCTGAGGCTCCGAGGCCTAGTCTTCCAGAGTGTCAGTTCCTCAGGCTCTGTGCCGAGGCCTGCCAGACTCCTCCTGGGGCCAGCAGGAAGGTGGAACTGACCTGCGTCCTGGTGTCCAGTGAGGCGAGGAGCCCTGAGAGCTCTGTCAGTAGTGTTTGGAGCACTCTGCCCCTCTGGATCCAGTGGGTCCAAGTCCCTCTTTGTAGCGCTCCTTACTGAGTGGACACAGCATGGGGACCCCGGCCTGGGACCTGCCCCGTGAGCTGGTGTGAGTTCGGCCCTGAGCCATCTGCACCTTCTCCGGGCTGTTTCCCTCCTCTTCCTCCTCGTTCCCAGGCAGCTTGGCACTTCTAACCCAGTGCACTCCAGTTTGGCCAAGGAGCCGGACAGCTCGCAGAACCCCGGGCGCCTGACCCCTCCTGTGTGGGGCTGTCTTTGCTGTGTCTAGGGATCCTGGAAACGGAGTCCATTCTGTCCCATCATGCCTGCCTGGCACTGGGGACTGGAGCAGGGGCTCCTGACCTGGGCGATGCTGTTGGACTGTTCATACCTTGCCGGGCTCGGGGTGGGTGCTGTCCCTTCAGTGACAGTGATCTGATGGCACGCGTAAACCCCATGTCAGCTGCCTGTGTAGCTCTTGCCTGGCATTAAAGCATGTGGACTGTTTAACATGACTGGCTGGAATGTGAGCTTTTCCTGACAATGCTGCTGCCCCAGCTGGGCTGTGCACTGGGAGATTCGGGGTATCGGTTTGGCCTCCTCTTGGGGACAATTTCTGTCCTTGTGACCCAAGGAACTGGGGTCTTCACAGGGGAGACAGGGAGGGTGCTGAGCTCAAGCCCTGTCCCCTAAGAGCCCTTGGTGTGTGTGCAGCTTCCGGCCTCCTTTCCCACCACGGCTGCCCCTTTCTCCCCACCCTGCTCCTTGTCCCCACTGGGGTGACACAGTAGGCACAGCAGGAGGAGGCCCAGTGACGCCTTTCCCCTTGGTGGGACCCAGGGCTCCCAGGAGTCAGCAGCATGTGACGCTGCAGAGACCACACCCAGAGCCACTCGGCCCAGCAGTTTCCGTCACTGTCATTGACTGGCCTTTTCTCCACCCAGGAGGCCAATGCTGTGGGAACGGGGTCTCTAAGCTGCTGAGGGTGCACTAGAGCAGGTGGGCAGCGAGGCAGCAGGAGGACGCGGAGTCTTCCCGCTGTACACAGCTGGCCCCGCTGTACCGCCTGCTCCCGGTGCTGGGGGAGGGTGGCTGGGGCTCTGGCCAGTGCGAAGCTGCGCACCTAGCAAAACCCAAGACCCCTGTCTGCTGGGCACTGGACCAACGTGACTATCAGGGCAGGTGCCGAGTGCTCCCAGCCGTGGCAGCGAGGCAGGCAGGTGCACTGCCTCTGAGGAAGCAGGCTGCTCTTGAGTCGCTCTAGACTTTGCTCAGAATTTCCCCAGAATTTTCAGGTTATTGCCACAGCTGAAGCAGCAAGAGAAAAAACTGCTGCATTTTCCAAGTCAGTGGACTCTCGAATCCACTTGGAAGACGACTGTGGAGGGCAGCGGTGACCCAGCCGAAGGCCCTGCCAGGGCTCAGGCGCATGGATCGGCCCTGGGAAGGTGTTCTGGGAGCTGAGCGCAGACTGTGGTCTGGGGCACACGGGAGGACGACACGAACGACACTCGGCTCATCCGCGGAGTTCGGGGGCTGCTGCTCTGCACTGGTCTGGGAAGTGACTGGTGCTCGGGAGCATCAGGTGCAAACACCTGGGCCTGCCACCGGCAGCCAGTGAGCACTGTGCACAGCCCGGCGGCAGCCTCCCTCGCATGCAGATGGCTGGGGTGGGGAGTCATTCTCCTGTGTGGGCCTGGGGTGTCGTGGCCCCCCAGGGCAGTCTCAGAGGTGTGAATGCTAGATTGAGGGAGAAAGTGGTCGCAAAGTTGACCTGGGGCGGCACCTGCCTTAGCTCAACAAGTTGTGTTGCGGCTTGAAAACCACCGGAGCGAAGCCGCTCCCACGGGAGAGTAGGAAGCGAGTTCTTCCCATTGGGAGCCAGCAGGGTGCCCGACATGGGTGCCTTCTCACTGTGCCTTCCCCTTCTGTTGCTCTGGCTGATCAGTCTCGCCGTCTTGAGAGTACCCTGATTACTGAGTCTCCAACGTGAGCTCACACTGCGGAGAGGGGTGCAAAGAAGCCCAGGGCCGACGGGCCCATGAAAGAGCCCCCAAGGCACCACGAGGGCTGTTCAGGAAACTCAGCAAATGTCCCTCCCAGCAAGTGAGCAAGTCCACCCAACAGCAGAGCCATGGGCATCGTGGGCTGAGAGAGAGGGCCACTGGGCCAAGATGGCTCCCCGTGTGGCCTGGCAGATAGGGGCAGAGTCAGCTGCCCTCAGGCAGGGTACACAGCTGGCGATGGCCCCTGGGTCTCCTGTTAGCACCTTCTCCCACCCCATGGAGGGCAGCAGAGAGGCTGCTGGGCTGGGGGTCTCTGCACATTCTTGAAAGTAAACTTCAGAGCCAGGGATTTAGCTTAGTGGCCTAAGTGTCTGCCTTGCAAGCACGAGGTCATGAGTTCAATCCCTGGTTACCCCCCCCCCCAAAAAAAAAGAAAAAGTAAGTAAACTTCAGCCAAGGTTTGCAAGCCGTGAACATGGCTGAGAGAAGGGCAGTGGCAACCTGCTTGGAGGGACACTGTGGTCACCAGGGAAATCGCAGATGGACAGGGTGATGCGCCTAGCTGGGGGCTCCAGAGCAAGGGAGTGTCCCCAAGGCGAATGGAATTGGAGTCACTTGGTTTTAGCCCCGGAGAGGCTGGCCTGGGGGGACTGTGGGGGCAGAAAGCTTCTGTGAGCCTGAGCACGGCTGGCTCAACCCCTGCCCCAAGTGCCTGCAGGGCCACGTGACATTTTCCCCCTCTCCTCACTTAGCCCTGGCCAGGAGGCCACTGGACAGCAGCAGGACAGGCATGTTGCCAACAAGGCCTTCCACACGCAATGCTTCACGGAAGCCAGACACTACCGTTGGATCTTTGTGTTACACATATTTATTTTCTTCTTAAAAATATACAAAAAATAAAATAACTGTATTTATAGTTTATAGATTTCCCTCTCCCATTTACAAAACTATTAAGTTACATTTTCCTTTCTCTTTTTAATGTGAGAGCAAACTGTATAGACACAAGTCTCTCGCAAATGTTTGTAAGAAAGGGCCATTCTGAGAATTTGGCACAAACCCTCTGTATCTGTTGCTTTTTCATAATTTTAAATAAGGAGGAAAATAAAGGCGTGACTCATTCATGCTTGGCACCCTCAGCTCCGAGGTGCGGCTCGCGGTCCAGTCCCCAGCGCTCGCTCGGGAAGCTGGAGCGCTGCGGGTGCACAAGAAAGCACTGCCCCGCACATCCCCACCCTCTGGAGTCCCAAAACGACAGGCTTCCTCACGCCTCTGGGGTGACTAAGGACAGAGCAGCGGCACAGGTCCCCCGTCTGTCTGGAGTGTTTCTTGGGAGTTTTGATCACAGCGCTGCTCACTTGCACAGGGAAGGAGGCACCGAAGCTAGCGGTGGGCACTCAGGATTAGGACGGGATGGACAGGATGGGTGACACTCCACCACCGCTGGGTGGTGCCAGTATTGTCACCTTTGTTCTGGTGATGGTCACCATAGTGACTGCTTGGACACTTGGGACAGAGGCGAAAGCGTCTCTCAGTCGTCCTCTCCTCAGGGCGAACAGTTTCTAAGAGGGACTGGATTCTTCCAGGCCCATGGCCCATGCCCAGAGCCATGCACGTGGTCCTTCCCAACCCTCGAGTCCCAGCCCCGGCTCAGGGACTTGGATCCCATCTGACCGGGGTTACCCCCAGAGATGGGAGGGAAGTACAGGCTTCTGTGAATTCCTGACTGAATGTGTCCCTGAGATAGCCCCGAGTCGCTGGTCTGAGGTGACAGCTGGAAGACAGCTGAGCCCAGGTGGCAGACCTGCAGCACCATGACAGAGGTGACGGGAACAGAGGCCTCTCAGGCACCAGCAGCACAGGCTCCGTCACAGCCTGGAGGTCCCGGCTGGGCTGGCAGGGCGGGTGGTAGCCAGGCTCACTCTGGGCCTGGGGTGCATGGTGGGGAGGGCGGAGTCCAAGCTGTGAGGGTGCCAGAGGAGCCGAAGTGCTTTACAAACACATCTGGGCCCTCCACAGAGCTGTCCTTGGATGGCGTGCAGAGTGAGATGTGTCTGGCGACCACAGAATTGCAGGGCTCAGCCCACAGGGTGCACACTGAGTCTCAGGAGTGTTCTGTCCCAGTGCTCTCCTGTTCTGGCAGCCTGCCTCCCAGCTCCCCAGGACTAGTGTCAGGCAGCTGCCCTCTGCTGTCTCTGGCACAGGAAGAAGCCAGGCACAGCACAAGGACACACAGTGCCCAGGACAGCCTGCAGGCCTTGTGGTGGGCCTACTGCACAGCACCCCAGCCTGAACTGGAGGTGGTTCCTGCGTGGGGTAGCCAGATGCCCCCACAGGGGAGTATGTCCTGGCTCCGTCACAGTCCCTGGGCCGGGTCCCCAGGGAGGTGCCTGCGGGCCAGTGCTAAGGAGCTATATTACAGCCATTTACACACACTATGTACAGACCGGGCGAGGCCTCAAGCGCCTCCCCAGTTCCAGGAGAGCAGCATCTCCCTGGATAAGGCCTAGCAGCCGCTCGCTGCAGGGGATTAGCGAGACTGCACCCCTAAGCCAGCTGCAAGTCTGTGTGAGGGTGGAAGGCATCCACCTGGGACCCTGCTCCAAACGCAGCTACTTGGTCAGGCATCAGGAGCCGCAGAGGCGGGAGAGAGGGAGCGACAAGTTTCCGGCTCGGGGACTCGGGGACTGGCTGTCTTCCCTGAGCAGGACTCTGGCCTTTCCCACAGAACCTGCGGGCTGCCCCGGCTCTGGAGTAGGTGGCAATAAATAAGGACTGGGGAGCCGCGGGGCTGGTGTGAGTCCCAGCTCAGTTGCGGTGTGTAACAGCAGTTGAGATGACAGTGAGGCGGCTCTGCCGGGCCGGGCTGGGCCTTCTCTCTGGGGGAGCCGGAGGGCTCCTGCAGGATGCCGAGCTGGCCTCAGATCTCCATGAGCGTAACCTTGAAGCCCTCCACCACGCTCTCCATGCTGAGGATGAAGGTGTCCTCGTTGGAGTAGTGCTCGATGATGTTGTCATCCATGTTCACCAGGATGCTGCCGTGGGGTGGGGACACAAGGGCAGGTGAGGACAGCGCCAGGCCTTGGGCTGGAGGCCGAGGTGGGCGAGCAGAGGAAGCAGAGCCTCCGCTGCTCAGAGCCACCCTCTGACCGGGCGCTCTCCCCCTGCAGACTGCAGACGAAACGGAGGCTCGGGGGAGTGAGCGGACGCTAACAGCGCAGCCCACACAGCCGGGACCCCGACCACCTTCCCAGCACTCAGGGGCCTCTGCCCTAACAGGGACAGGGAAATAAGCAAGGGCCTGGCTGTGCCAGGTTTGGAACGAGCTACTTCCCCACAAGGGACCTGCTCCTTGGCCAGCTACCCCTGATAGATTCAGCTTTAAGGAACCAACAATTTCCAGGGCTTGTCCACATGTAGATGTCCTTGGGTCAGTCGCATCCTCGGAGGTTGAACAGATCTTATTTGGAGAATGAATCACTGATTCTGTCCAGTTATTTCACCTCTCAAAGCCTCACTTTATTCTGCCAAAATCAGAACAGCACAGCTTGAGGAGCTGTCATCGGGTGAGAAGCATGAGGCAGGAGCTGAGCCAGATTCAGGACAGCCCAGTGCTGTGGTCAGCACTGCATCTGCACCGAGGTGCCGCCCAGCAGGGGCGCTGGAATGCACACTAAACTCAAGATTCCTATCTGCTCAGAGAGCCCCAGAACCTCCCATCATTGGGTCCTCAGGAAGGAGGCACAGGGGGAGCTCAAGAGCCCTCGGGAGCCCAGGTTGGTGGTGCTTCTCTGGGACCAAGCCAGGGGCCAGAGCCCTCGGACAGCAGCGGGAGCTGAGTCCTGAGCCGAGACCAGGCCCCGGCTTCCAGTCTCTTTCCCACTAACTGAACACGCATCCCAGGGCCAGATGCTTACAGCTCTGGCTTGGTTTCCCCATCAGAAAAGGAGAGGGAGTGGAAGACAGCCTCACAGAACATGAGGAAGAAGTAGAGGGACACACAGGAAACCCTTAGCAGGAGACAGGCGCCCACCTTGGACGGAGGCTACACCTACCTGTACCCAACCTCTAGGGCCGCGTTGTAGGCACCTACCAGCTCCATGTTTAGCGGGGCGGGGTGGGGGGACGACTCTGCCATTCTCCCCAGTGTGTCTGTCCAGCCACCAGGAGTCCCGTCACTGGAGCAGGGATCCCAGCCAGCATGGGGACGTGCCCCTGCCCTCCCTCACCAAGCTTCTCATATGTACTGGGCTTGTAAGCTGCCTGCCATCCTCCCCAGGACAACCCACTTTCTATGAAAGAGCGGCCACAGGAGGGACACGAGATGGGCACTGTTCAAGAGAAGCCATCATGCAGGCTGTCTGCTCCAGAAGTGAGATAAAGCTCAGCTTTTTTCCTTACCCCTTTTTGCTTTTCTTGTAAAGCTTGGCGATCTTCTCCACGGGCAGCCCGTACTTCTCGGAGATCTGCAACAGCAAGCACGAGACGCATGAGCGCAGGGCAGCCCACAGCCCGGCTCCCCAGCAGACGGCCTCCCGCACGTCGAGGTCTTCCGCAGGACCCAAGCCCCCACCACGCTCCAGCGAGGGGTCCCCAGACAGACCTCGGTCTGTCCACAACTGGGGCAGCCCGCTGGGAATGAAACCTATGGAAACAGGCGCGACGCGTCCCTCAGAGAGAGAGAGAGAGAGAGAGACGCGGGACTAAACAGGTGGTCACATAGCAAAACGTTTAACGAGTTAACTTGGACTTCTCCTGCACTCCTTACACCAAAGCAGACTTCAAGTGGACCACAGATTTATACGTGAACGATGAAACCATGGAGTAAGAAGAACCACAGTTCTTTGCATTCCTGTCATCTTAACAACACAGAATTAAAAATACCAGTGTAGCCAAGGCCACCATAAAAAGCTGACGCTAACACACCGGGAAACGTTTTTTACAGCCCAAATGCCAGATATAAAACTAACTTCCTTAAGTTAAAAAGAACTCCAGCACATCAAGAAAAAAATCTAACAACTCAATGGGAAAAGGAAGGAAACAAGAAAAAGGAATTCATAGAAGAAAAATATAGTCACAAGCATAAGATGCAATTTAATTTAAAAATTTTCAAATTAAAGCAACAGTAAGACACTGTTTCTAATTTTATCAGATTAACAAAAATGAAAAGTTAGTAATAGTGCCAGCCAGAGTATGAGAAATGGAAACTCTCCTATTCTAGAGCTGAAAGAGTACCAGCCTCCACCTTTTTGGAAAAGAATTTGGCAGAAGCTATCTGAACACAAACTGTGCACCTCTTGGACTCATACAGCCCACAGGTACTTAGTCTGGTTTCACAAATATTTTCAAAACAACACACTGCACAGAACATGTTACACATATTTTGGTATTTCATAGTTGGAGGCCATGGAGGCATGAATAAGATGGAAAGTCTACAGAACTCACATTTTTAAAAACCCTTAACATATTAAAAAGAGAAAGACAAGTTTTAAAACAGCGTACACAACACAATTATACATATAGTGTATATATACTTTATATAAAAAATAGCTGAAGTGCACAATGAATATTCAAATTTTTAAAAATTACAAAAAAGAGACATTGCCAGGAACCTCCCCCGAACTCTCCTCCCCCGCTGACCACACTTGCCCACCGTTCTGCCACTTTCTGAAGTGGCTCTGAAGTCTCTCTTGAATGCTTTTGTAAGACATGATTAAAAAGTAGGGTGAATGCTGCTGCTGAGCACCATCCAACAGAAAGGCAGCTCACAAAAACACGACGCCATGTCCTCAGCCACCTCATTCACAGGATCTGTCCCCGAGTGACTTCTGGCTCTTCCCCCCAAAATCAAAGTGACCACGAACGGTCGGCATTTTGAATAGAGCCAGGACACTGAGGCCGCCACAATAGCACAACTAAAGACACTCGGGAACAACTTCCGGTAGGGCCTCAGCAAGCGGCCGGAACACGATGAGTGGGTCGGTCTGGAGTGAGGGAAGTATTCTGAGGGGGTTCCTGGCAACGTATTCCTCACTGTGATACTGTTTCACTTAAACACTTCATATACTACATAGAACATATTCACAGGACCCACTTGACCTGTTCCAGTGGCTACTACTGCAGAACAGGCAGAATAAAAGGCTGTTTCTTCTGCACTCTAAAATTCTGCAGTTTATTCTGGTTTTACAATGTCTGTGTCTGTTTCATGAATACAAAGTAGCAATCACTGAGAAACAGATTCTGGAAAGGCTGCCCCAAAGGTCTGCCCACCTCTATTCCTCCAGGAGCTGGTGGGACCCACAGGCAGCTGAGGCAGGAGAGGTTTGGGACTGGATTACTGGAAAGTCTAGCAGAGGCCAAAAAAAAGAGACTGAACAGTTCTCAAACAAAGCTGAAACCACTTTGAATCCCAGGAAAACTGAGCTCTACAGAGTATCATCGATTCCTACCCCCAGAACAAACTCCCTCCCTGAAATAAACCCAGGAGGAGTCAGGCTGGGAGCCAGGGGAGCAGAGGAGGCTGCCCGAGCAGCCCCCCAACCTGCCATGTGCCACTGAGCCATCCTAGTAAGGGCCCTGTGGCTGCCACTGAGCCCCAATGAGCCAAGTGTAAGAGGAAACGCATGACAGGGGACACTCTAAGCAGCAAAGAAAATGGGCAGAGGCATCCATTTGAATGCAACACTGAAGAAGCATGCAGGAGTACAGAAACACAAAGCACACGTGTGCAAAATTTTGATCTAAAAATAAGGGCACTGAACTAAAAACGTTTTAAAGCTCAGTACATGAACTGAAAGACTGATGGCCAACTTCAAACTGAATAGTGTCAAGAAAAATCAAGTCAACAAATCTTACAAGTGTTAAGGCAAAAACACACAAAAACAAAGAAGAAAAGGAGAGACCTGAAGAACAGAAGAGGGTCACAGGGGATCTAAAAATCACCCCAGATGAAAAACAGCAGATGAAGAAGAAGCAGCAACCAAACAAACAACAGAAGACAGACCGACGGGTTTGGGACAGGCGCAGGTAACCTGAACCCCGGGAGACGCACCAAGAAAAGGCTCATACGTCAGGTGGTCCAAAAAGTAAGGACAACACTGGCACCTCCTGGACAGAAAGCACAAACTGCTTGATGTGGAACAAAGGTAAACCTGAGTTCAGCCTTCTCATGGGCAACTGGAGAAAGGGCTGAGTCTCCGCGCCAGCCAGCTGTCCCTCCTCACGGTGGAGGGGCGGACTCCAAGAGAGAGAAGGGTCAGGCCGCGCCCATCCAGATGGCCACCACTCAAGGAGGAAGAATCACCAAGGGGCTAAACCTGGATGAATACGGATGCTCCGGAGAGGCCTCAAACCAGGCTGGGGGCAGAACACAAGAACCAGAGCAGCACGTGCTTCACAGAGCTCGAGCGCTCACGTGGCCTGATGGGGTAGAAAGAGTGTCCATGGGGTTCTTGCAGCAGAAGGACAGTGCAAAGAGCAAGCTCACTGTTTCCCAGCAAGAAAGACGGGGAAACCTTCCGCAGACTCTGTGGGATGGCTGTGTTTTGCTGGGCTCCTCCTGGTGAGGAGGGCATAGAGGGGTCATTTTACAGAGGGGCCGGGGCTGGAGAAAATAGTTGGAATTTTAATTTTTAAATAGAAGAGAAATAAAAGGAAGAAGACTGGAACCACTTAGGAATGTAAGGGTAACTTTTAAGTTAAAAAAGGTGAAAATAGGCAATTTAATCTGAATGTAAAACTACAAAGGAAATCACCAAGTAAAATCAACAAGATAAGGGAGAGGTGGACGCAACTCATCAGCCACTCCCCCACAGGCAGCAAACATCATTCTTCCAGGAAAGAGCAAGGAGGTCCAACTGGAAACCATGTAAATAAGAGGAAAAGAAAGAAAGAGAAACCCACCGAACACAGCGATGATCAGCCGCAGGATGACCAAGGGCCGCGCCAGCAGGTGTGCAGGGAGGGAAGCAGTCTGAAGGGCCCAGCCAGCGCCAGCGCCAGCACCAGCGCCGGAGGGAGAGGGACTGTTTGTTTCTTGTTGGTTTTGGTACTGGAAATCAAACTCACCACCCTGCGCTTGCCAGGCAGGCACTTCTGCCACTGAGCCGCGTCCTTGGCCCTTCTACTGACTACTTTATGTAACAGAATAAACACACACGCCCAAAGACACTGCAGCTCTGACAGCGACTCTTCACCTACAGGGTGACAAGGTGAACCGCTCTGGGTCATCCCTTGGCACGGTGAGCAGTCTCATTTAAGTTAACCAGAATGTGCACTGCTGAGTGACCCTGAGTGACCTGTCTTTCTTAGAACTCACATTCCTGTGGCACCTGGTTGGGAAGATGAGTTACATCTTTCTGAACAGAGCGAGTTCCCCTGATCATCTCCATGTTCTTCCCACATCTGGAGGGCTGACATCACTTCCCCCCACCACATGCTCCCTTTGGAAGAATTTCTACACCTTTCCCCTTCCTCCCTGCTGGCCCTGTACAGTCACCAGGACCCACCCTCCCACCTACCGATCAAAAAGAACCCACAAACATGAGCCACTTCGGCTCCCAGAGGCTCCGAGTGGAGCCTTGCTGAACAGATGAAGAAAGGTGGGTCTAGGCGTAGCTGATTCTCGAGATTCTCTATGAGCTGGGTCCTGGGGTCAGTCAGGGACACAGCATTTCTGGAGCCGCTTCCTCTCTGTGGCTGGCCTGAGCCCTGGCTTCTTCCCCCAGGGTCCACAGAGGGCAGGAGGCCGTGCACAGGAACTTGGGTGGAAAGCCCACATCTTTACTGTCATAAACTCAAAGCAGTGTTAGGTCTCCTTCAGCTGTGAGCACAAAGCAATTCTGTGTCTTTGTTACAATGGATACCACAGATGCTTTCAACTCCTATTAGAATTCTGCAGATATTTCAAAATACCGATTACACTCACCCATCGTATTTTGGAACTTTTAGTTATTAGCCCACCATGGTTCATGACACAGAACCCATGAGTAAGGAGCATTCCTTCTTCCTAGGCCACGGGCAGGCGCTTGGCCATTTTGATGACCCCAGGGAGGAAGAGACTGTGCAGGCTGTGGAGTGGCAGATGCTGCCATCTGTCAGGGCCCCACAGAGGCCTCCTCTGCCCAGGGCTGGGTAAGCTCATCACAAGACCCTGCTACTCGAGGAACACGTGCTCCTGTCACACGAGGCTAGCAGGGTGCTTAGATCCTTTTCCTCGTGTTTTCCACGTTGCCTGAATGGAGTGTACACCTACATGACTTTCAAATTACTCACGCCCCTAAAGGCCCCAAAGATTTCCCTGGTACCCAACAGGACGCTGCAGTGTATTTGGTTGTCTCTGCTCTGTGACTGAGTCTTCACAGAGCAGAGGGCTTGGCCTGGTAACTTTGAACATGTGACATCAGGAGGTGGAGGCCCCCATGGGGTCTCACGTGTATGGGGTTCAGACTGCCTGCTGCGGGGAGTG